ACATGTCCCACTTCCATAATTCCTGTCTCCTGTGATAGCACTATATCCATTCATTCCTAAGTCCTAGGAGACATCCTGGACTCTACTTTCCACTCTTCTGCTTTCTGCCCATATGTATTCATCCTCCATTCAGTCACATGCTAATCCTTAAATACTTCTCAAATCATTTCTGCTACTGCCTCTTACTTAGTCCTCATTTTTTTCATGTGCAGTTACATTGACTGTAGATGGTTAAGCATAGAATGCTAAAGTTCTTGTATTTAGCAAATAAGACCCTCTGCATCCTTCCCTTACTTTCCCCAAACCCAGTCTTACATACTGCTGTTTTCAGAGTGATCTTTAGAAAAGTTAAGTCTGGACCTTACTGAGACTCTGGTGATTTCTGCAGCCACAAATCAAATCCTAACTTCTTAATCCAGTACCAGTCGTTTTCCTTCTCTAACTCCAGCTAACCAACCCAACCCAGAGCAGTCTTGCCTTTTCTTGTTCCCCTCACACTTCATAAGAAAATTGTGCATCAAGGTTGTATCCTTTCTCTATATCTATTTAGTCTGTATGCTGAACAAATAATTTTAAAAGCAGAATTTGATGAAGAATGGTTCAGAAGATGACTCATTAGCAGCCTGTGTTATACAGGATTTGAACCACTTGTGCAGAAGATCAAGGAGACTACAGTTTTCAATATGGATTATCCACTGTACTAAAACGTTAAAATGATAGATGGACAAAAGATTGAAATTGTCAATGATTTCATCTTAACTGGGATCCAGAGTCAACATCTTTGGTATCACTGGTCTGGAGATTAGGAACCAAGTTGCATTAGGAAAATTCTACACTCAGGGACCTCTCCAAACTACTGGAAGCATTGATTACAGTTTGAAGACTGGGAAGTTCTGCATGGTCTTTTCATTCACTTTACTTAGGCATCTGAGAGCTGGACAGTGCATAAGGATGACAGGAAGAGAATTGATGCTTTTGAGCAGTGATGTTGGAGAAGAGTACTGAGTATCCCATGGACTGCCAAGAGAACAAACAGGTATGTCTTGGAGAAAGTGCAGCCAGTATGCTCTTTTGATGACAAAAAACTTAATCTCACATTCTTCAGGCCTATTAGGAGAGGCTATTCCTTGGAAAAGACATCATGCTTAGAAAAGTTGAGGGAGGTCCAAGAGAGGAAGATCCTTAGCCATATGGATTTGACAGTGATTACAGCAGTGGCTCTGATGAGGATGGCACAGGATAGGATACGGTTCACCTCTATTGTTCATAAGGTCTTTATGCGGTGAACTGGGCTTGATGACACCTAACAACACCCTCACACATACCTGGACCCCTCACTGAACTGCCTGAACTTCTCAGATGCTCTCAGTTCTCCAGAACCTTGTCTCCTGTATGGATGTGGCAGTCTGCATTGTAGTGTTGTGACTACCTTTCCTCCACTCTGGTAGCTAGTCAGATTTGACTTCCCTTTAATCCCTCTGGGACACTTCACATGATTGTCTTTCTGAGCCTTTCCTAGCAGAATTAGGCCCTTTAGGTTGTTCCTGAAATGACTTTTCTAATTCTTATATTTTCGCATTCTATTTTGTTTCCTTCCAAATAGTTTGTAAATCATTTGCCTAAAATTAATAGCCTCTTCTGAGCTCCTCAGTATATAAACTCAAGAATTCATAATCTGGTACATTTTCTTTCTATTAATTTAATTTCTGTTTTACTCAGCTGTTTTTTCATTTATATTGTAGACCTTTTTACTTTCTTGTATTTAATATCCAGAACACAAAAGAAATGATGGTGTGGGAGATATACTTTCTGAGTTGATGCTTGTGTTCTCTGTACTGATAACGTGTGCTGAGAAGGTTGAAGGTTGAGAGAACAGTGAGAAAAATATCTACTTCGCAACAATGAGTATCCTTTCCAGAATTGAAAAGTGGTTTTTTATCTGGGCTCTTAATAGTATTTTTTTTTTTATATCTGCTGGCGAATCATGTTGACATGGGATTGGTAATAATATTATAATGACTCAAGTTTTTCTCTTACAGTGAAAATTGGCAATTTGTTCACACACAAAATTTTTTTGACTCAACATAATAGGGTAAAGCAGAATGAATTGATCAGACATGTATTACATTTCACAAAATCCAAATCTTGCTACTTCACATCTCCTGTATTAATTTCTTTCTGGTTATTCCTTGGTAGGAATGCCCTTGAGCCGGAGTTCTTTTTTTACCAGGATTATTGCACCTGGCTTTTACAAAAACCCTAACATAGCCACCACCTCCATTTCTAGCACTGTCTCTTTACTATTCTTACCACTTAAATTATTTTTAGTACTCTAAATTCTCCTCCTTACATCTTACAGCTTTGTAACCCTGGCCTCAGCTCATGGCTATCTGAGAGCTCTTACACTACCGTTGATTACCTGGCTCATATTTGCTAATCTTTTATATACCTGTACTTAGATATCCTTTTCCAGCTGTCTGTCACTCCTGTCCCTTCTTGTCCCCTACACTCCTTCCACGAAACAGAGTACTTAAAGAGCTCATTTTCATCTTCCCTTTACTCATAGTGACTTTTTCTGTTATTTTCCGTTATTTGACTTGACGGCACATAACAACAACTAAAATTCTTAATACAGAATGTCATCTTCAGTTGAACTCCAACAGGTTTTAAGACACTAAAAGGAGGAGGTTGCTTTTCTTCCCCCCTCCCCCCCCCCAAGGAATAAAAGCCTCATATCTTTCTCACTCAGTCCATTCCTTGACTCCAGTAGTTCCTTCTCCTGCCCGTACCTGTCTCTTATTTGTCCTGTCATTGTCAGAATGTACCTGCTCCTGCTGAGTTTACATAGAGGTGCTGCTGCTTTGAGTCGCATCTTGTTGGTTATTCCTCCTTTAGGCGTCAGTGCAAAATAAGGACTGTATCTGTCTCATTTTTGTGTATAGCTTAATGTCACCATTACCATACATAGACAGCTACTTTCTGATAACAAGAAGCAGTGTTTTAATAAAGAGGGAACAGTAGATAGTGAACACTTGGCACCGGCGCTGCATTTATTTAAACTGATGTAAAAAATAAAGCAGGGGAGGGGGGGAAATCCTTTTTTGCCTTTGGATTCTTAAAGCATTCTCTGATAAGGGAGAGCAGGTGGTAAAATTAATCTTATAAAAAGATAATTTAATGTTTTTCAGGTTTTTTTGTTTTGTCTGTCACATGTAGAAAAGCGTATGAAAATCAAATAGAGCTAAAACAGTACTTTGATACATAAATCCAAAGTATGGTTGATTGTAGTAAATTAGAATTTGCCATCAAAATTTTATAATGTTCAAAGGACAAATGCACAGAGAATGTGGCAAAAACTGCAGTTGTAGATGTCTTTCTCATGCAAATTTCTATAAAGTTTTAACAATATAGGCTTAAATAGAAATTGCTAGAGTAATTCTAGAATAAAATTTACTCCTTTATTATTAAGAAGCATTGGTTGTTTATATTATAATGCATGTTATTGTAATGACTGCTGTTCTAAGAACTACTTAAAGGAAATAGGAGAACTCATAATTAGGAACAGTTGCAGGAAGATAGGCTTAAAAGGGGGAAAACTGTTTATAAACTAGAAGTGAACTTGGATGGTGGAGAGGAAAGTTATCTTTGTTGTTGTAATGCACCGTGAAGTCAGAACTGACTTTTATGTAGCTGGTGCTCCAGTACATTTTCAGATGCTGTTCACCTGTCTCCCATAGGTTACCTGGTGGATACAAACTGATGGCAGTTCAACTCTAACGTTATCTTTAGATTATCCCCAAGTTGAAGAAAAGTTTTTTTCTCTACAAAGCAATACTCAGTTATAAATAATAATACATTCCTTATTCATACTTTATCCTTAATTCAATTTAGATGTTCTTTTAAAACTATCCATACATTCACCAAAAAGTACAGTAGAGTTTTTAAAACCATCCTTCATTTTGCTGGTAAGTACTCGTCCAGCCAGAAAGTAGGATTTTTTTTTTTTTTTATCTCTAGGAATTTTTAAGGGAACATACTGCTGCTTACAAAGCTTCATGCTATTAATTTGGCATATGCCTTGATCCTGCCCACACCACCCCACCCTCCAAAAAAGAACCCCAGACCTTGACTTAAAAATGACCAGTATCAGAATACTAAACATCATACCTAGTGCCATCGAAGAAATGGATACACCTAGCAGCCTTTTAGGAAAGAGTAGAACTGCCCACACGTAGTGTTTCTAAGGCTGCAGTCTTTACTGAAACAGAAGCTGCTGTGTTCAAACCATTAGCATTTTCAGTTAACAGTCAAGCTGTTAACCATTGTGCCACCAGAATTCATTAACAACAGAATTTTTGAAAACCCTCAAACTCATTGCTTTCTAGTTGGAACTCACTCATAGCTGACCCTCCAGTGGATTTCCATAGTTAGTTACACAGGAGAAAATTGCCCATCTTTCTCCAGAAGAGTTACTTAAACTGCCTATAGAGGCTTAGCCTTTGGGTTTGCCATGCAGCTGCTTACATACTAGGCCTTCAGACTAATATCAGAATGAAGGGTAGGAAATAGATTTTCTTCTGACATTTGGGAGAAATATGTTTTGAGATGTTTTAAGATGTTAAGGTATTCATGAAGAAAATCTGTCTTGGAAGAAGTACAACCAAGTGTTCCTTGTATATCTTCTCCATCCTAAAGCTTGATTAGTTTAAACCTGGATTTGACTCATCCTACTATAGAACAGAGAATGGGGGAAAATTAATCCTGCCGTAACTCTTAAAAGGACTGGAAGGTTTTAGTCTTGTTGACAAAGGAAACATAGGGCACCGATGATAGGGAAACAATAATGACATTTTACTCCCAAATAAGCCAAGTTTTGAAAGCTTCACAGCAGACTGTCCTAGGTCTTTTTAATGCCCAGTGAGATGTTTAGATATTTCTAAGCAAGCTTATTAACAGTTTTTTTTACTTCTTTTTTTTTACTCCCTCTTACCTTTTTTTAGAGGACAAGAATTTTGGGCAGATTTGAATGCTCTAAGCGTGTATGAAACAAACGAGTATGACCAACTTCGAAGGCTATCCACTCCACCGTCTAGCAGTGGCACCTCTATTTATCATACATTCTGGAAATTCTTCTGTCGAGACCACTTTGGATGGCGAGAATATCCTGAGGTATTTACTAGTTCTTGTATTTAAATAGTTTTTACTTTCACTGTCTTTTTTATTCATTCCTTTCAACAGTGACTGGATAGAACTATAAATCATAATACTATAATTTAAAAACAAATTCCATTTTGTTAGTGAAACTTCTCTGAAAACACATCTTTTAATTTGCAATTATCTATAAAAATCACTAAAGGAGGCAAGCTCTGGTAGCCTAGTGGCAAGAAGCTGCACTCCAATCCCAGAGGTGCATGGATCGATTCCACCAGATGCTCTGCTGGAGGAGGAGGGACAGTCTCTTCCTGTACCAGTCAGATCTCATTTGTAATAGAATTTTTTTAAAAAATCAGTAAATGAAATGCTTTCCCCAAAATCTAAGATGATAAAACCAAATTGATATTGAGTTGATTCTAAATCATGGCACCATTTGTGTAGAGACCAAGTATTTAGTAGTAAGCACATGCTAGCTTTGTGATTATTACGTGCACTCAGTTGGCTGTGACTCAGCAAACCTGTGAACAGTGGATCTGAAACCTTGCCCTATCCTGGGTCTTCACCATCTCTGACACACTGGAGCCCTTTGCTCCAGTCACCATATCAATCCATCTTTTCAAGGATTTTTCTTTATAAGCATGATGCCCTTCTGTAAGGACTGGCCCCTCCTAACTAACAACATGCTAAAAGTATATGTGAGACAAAGTTTTACCATCTTGCTTCCAAGGAGCACTCTGGATTCACTTTCTGTTCTTAGCAGTTCATGGAATAGTCCCTACTGTTAACACCCAGACTCAAAGACATTGATGATTCTTTTGTTGCCGTTAGTCATTGTCCAGTTTTCAGATGCATAGCACACGATTGAGATGACTATCTAAGTCAGGTACACCTTAGTGTTTAAGGTGACATCGTTCTTTAGTACTCTGGAGAGTTCTCAGAAAGCAGGTGTTCTCATTGTGGCTCATCTGTTGATTCTTGCTTGCTGGTGCAAGAGTATTATTTGTGGACCCAAGCAAAATTGAATTGTTGACAACTTCAGTCTTCATCTGTCATGATGTTTCCTATTCAGTCCACGGCTTTCGTTTTCTTGGTGTTAAGATGTAAACTATATTGAAGGCTGTAGTCTTTGACCTTCTGCAGTTAGCACTTAATTTTTAGCAACCAGTGTTGTGTAATCTGCATAATGCATGTGGTTGATGAGCCTTTATCTTGATGTCACGTTCTTTATAAAGTCTAGCTTCTCAAATGATTTGCTCAGTATAAAGTTTGAGTAGCTCTTATTCTTGAACACACAACTTTTTTAATTTTAAACCATGCAGTGTTCCTCTGTTTCAACAACAGCCTCTTGTTCCAAGTATAGATTTTTCACATGAGCACAATTAATTGTTCTGGGATTCCCATTCTCCTCAGTGTTAGCCGTAATTTGTTATAATCCACACAGTCATGCTTGTGTAGTCAGTAAAACACAGACATTCTTTCTGGCAGGATACTTGTGAAATCAGTAATGATATCCCTGGTACCATGGTCTCTTCTAAGTTCAATGCACTGTTCTGTTGTCCAGTAATGTCCATGTGCTGCCTTTAGAGTCTTTTAATGACTTGAATACTTTTGTTTTATCTGGTTTTTGGACTCTCGTGGAAATTGGTTCTGGTGTTGGGTTGAGCATTTCAGAAATCCAGTGGAAAATTAACTTAAGTGTTTAAGTGATGGTTAGGTAAAATCAATCATTTAAAACTTCTTACACCTAAATCTTTAGTGTGAGATAATAGAAATAGCTCAAGCCTAAAGTGATAATTTACTTGGCCTCTGAAAGAGAATTGGCAAATTTAAACACAATCAACTAATAAATGTTAGTTTTAAATCCTTAACAATTTTTATTCTTAATTTGATTAAGTTTTAGAATTATGGAAAAAGAACAAACAAACCCCTGTCTTGTGTTATTGTTTTTAAGGTAATAGGGAAGAGAACCCAGTATATTAATTGCTGAACAACACTGTTTAAAGTTTCTGGCTCTTTAAATTAATCATTCCTACTTTCAAAGACATAAGACTGTGTTCTGAGAATGTATGTTTCTAAGACTGTTTTCTCTCTGACAAACAGAGGTATCATAGGTTGTACATACTCTTCTGGGTTTTCATAGAAAAAATATAGCAACCTCTTCCCAAAAAAAGATCTCTAGAACATTGTTAAAAACCTTAAGCAGAGTTGAATTAAGTTCCCTGGGCCTCATATATGCCATAAAATAGTCATCTAAGCTTTTCCAAACAGGGAACAACATCTTGTTCTGCTTCTTTACATTCCCCTCCCCACACCCTTAAGAAAAACCAGTTTACTAAGTGGAATCAGGGAGTGGTTGTTTTTGCCTTTTGTTGTATTAACATTTTTCGTATTTCATAGTGATTATTACCTTGTTGGTTTTTTTGTTTGTTATTTTCCCTTAACTTGTTCTCCCCCCTTCTTTTTTCTATTCTTTAGTCTGTAGTTCGATTGATTGAAGAAGCCAATTCGCGGGGTCTAAAGGAAGTGCGATTTATGATGTGGAACAACCACTATATTCTTCAGAACTCATTTTTCAGGAGAGAAGTAAAAAGGAGACCTCTTTTCCGTTCCTGTTTTATACTGCTTCCATATTTACAGTAAGTGTCTCATGAAAGAGTCTCTGCTCTATGATTTTGTACAAATGTGCTGCTATTGAATGTCAGAAAGCAAGCAGTTTTTAGTTCTTAAATGTGAAATTCTTGGTTATTCTTTGATTCTCCAGCAGTAAGCTTCAGGCAAGTTAGAGTTGGAGCTGTCTCTGTTGGATCTGTGGAGCATGCCAAGCTGACTGTCTCACTAATGAAGGTCTGGCCCCTCATTAGGACAGACTAAACACCCTGTTGGAGTTGGGTTTTAGCTTATAATCATAATAGTGTTAACATGTTCCCACAACTAAAAGTAATTCTACTTGTAGTGAGACAGTTCGCATATACTTCTTCATGAAAAATTGAGTTTTCTGACGAGCCCCTTATTGGTTCTAAGATATTCCAGTCGAAATCTACTGCTGTGACAGATGAGATAGTGTTACCTGTTAAGGGGTCATCTTCATTCTTCTAGAGCACGTTTGAATGGGGAAAAAAAATTGATTTCTTAAATATTTCCTACTCTGATTTGCTAATAAGGACTTCTTTCTCTGATACTCAGACCACATCATAGTTAATTAAGAATATAATTTCTTGGTCAAAGACATTAAATTCAAGTAGGTAACCTATTCTTCTCAGGTACAATTTGTTCTTTCTTCAGGTAGCCCATTTATATCTCCATAGATGTCAGAAGGTGAGATGCATTACTACTATTAGTATGGCTACCTTAGAAATGAATGTGTCTAGGGAAATCATTATGTTCTGCAACCAGATAAATATACCCATTTTAGAACCTAATTTTGAAAAAACTAAATTTGTTTGCTTTTATACACTTAAGTGTTCTCAAATAATATTGGTAAGTATTATCTGCTTATGTTTGTGCAAGTATGGTTTTTATATTCTTAGGAGTTTTTGTAATGTGCCATCCAGTCTCCTGCAACTCATAGAGACCTTAACATGCAGTAGCTGTGAACTGGGCCCTATCCTGAGCCAAACTGACTGTCTGCAACACAACTACTGCTTTTACCCCAGTTACTATGTCAATCCATCTTATCTGGGGTCATCTCCTGCACTGTCCCTCCATCCTTCCAAGCAGGATGTCTTTCTCCAAGGACTAGAGACGTGCCCAAAGTATGTAAGACTGAGTTTCAAAATTCCTGCCTCCAAAAAGCAGCTTGGTTTTACTCTCTCCAAGACAGACCTATTTGTTCTCCTTGTGGTCCATGGTATGTTTAATACTCTTCTCCAGCACCTCAGCTTAAAGGCATCGATGATTCTTCTGTCATCCTTGGTCATTGTCCAGCTCTGATGGATAGCATGTAATTGGGCCTGGATTAGGTCTCTAGACTGGCTCTTTAGCACTTTGCAGAGGTCCCTGACAGCAGACTTCTCCATAGCAGTTTGACTGCTGGTGCCAAAAGTATTGATTGTAGAGCTGAGCAAGTGGAAATTGTTAACAATCTCAGTCTTTTCTCTGTTGTGGTGCTGCCAATTGGCCAGTGGTGAGAATCTTTGTCTTATGAGTAGTTTTATTTTAAATCCAAATTGTGCCTTTCCATATTATTGCAGAATTTTGACTCTGACCCTGAGATTGCCAAGTTGTTGGTATGTGTCATTAAGTCAACTCTAGTGACTTAAAGCAACCTTATGAACAACAGACTTGAACTTGGTTCTGTCTCTTGCCATTCTCACCGTCTTTGACATACTTGAGCTCATTGTTTCAGTCACTTTGTCAATCCATTTAGTTGATGGTCTTCCTCTCTTACATTGACTCTGTCTTTCTAAGCGCAATGTATTTTTTCCAAGGACTGGCCTTTCCTAACAGTATTTCCAAAGTATGCGAGACAACCACCATCTTTCCTTCCGAAGTCAAAGACCACTCTCTGTCAAGGACAGACTTGTTTGTTCTCTAGGAAGTTCATGGGATAGTATGTACTTTTCTCCAACACCACTGTCAAAGGCATTCATTCTTCTGTTGTCCTTAGTCGTAAGAGAAGGAGGACCATTAACAAAAAATATACAAGGGGGGAAATATCCCTGAAATGCTATGCATCTGCAAACAATTTAGAGATACATATTAAAGTAAATGTGTATTTTCTTTAAAGCTCAATTGAATTTCCCTCCCCCTAGTAGACTGGTTTGGTTTTTAATGAGAACTAACCAATATGCCATTCCTATAATTTCAGTAGCACAGCTGGAGATAGTGTCAGCGTCCAGGGTTAGGATTGTTTTGTTAGTGGGGCTTATTAGTGAGACAGTTTGCCCTGTGCTAAGCTGGTCAAGTGAAACATAGCTTTTGTGAGAGTAAGGGCCCCTCCCGTTTCTGTTTTTGGGGGGGTGGGGAGGTGTTGGATTTTTGTTTTGTTTTGGTGGGGTTTTTTGGTTCGGGGTTTTGTTTTGGTTTTTATTTTTCATTATTTTATCTTTTTTTAAAAAAAAGTAATGTTTTTTGGGGGGGCTCTTAAAATTTTTTACTGTGATTTTAATAAAAATGTACAGAAAGGTTGGGTTTTCATTCATTGTTGCACTTCTTTTCCCCCTCCCCTTCTCTCAGTCCACCTTGCAGTGCCCCTCTTGTTTCACATTGTTTCCATACATTTAATGCCCATATATTGTCATACATATAAAGAAATCAGATTCCCTGGAAACAGCAGTATCTCTCTCCTCTCCTATTTTATAACAGCAATGTAATGCGCTATTTGTCAAGGGTAAGCTTCCTTCCTTCTCTTAGCAATTTTAGCCTTGTTCAGTGTGAAAATTTAAGAGCTAGAAAAAAATAAGTGCAAAAGTAGATTAATATTAATAACTAGAGTCTTATTTGTTATACAGGCGTATAAGAGCAGAAATATGTCATTCTTTCCCCTTTGTTATATTTCCTATTTTGGTCTTCCTTTCTGGAATAATGATAATCAGGTATAAAGAGCTAGCACAACACATTAAAGATATTATGCAGACATTTTAACCAGAAAGGAGCAGAAAAGAAGCAGGTTCCCTGGGGCCCAGTGATCATCTCAGAAATTGATATACTCTGTCCTGTGATCTGGGACTGTTCTCAGGGACTGCCCAGGAAGGAGACAGAGGAGGAGGAAGCCACCTGTGTTCTAGATGGTTGGTTGTGCTAGGCCACAAAGTTTTTAGTTGTTTTGTTTTTAGTGTTATTAAATGCAAAGGGTAAAAACAAACCAAAAAAATGTAGGTGGTAAGAAGACCACAATTGTTAAGGAATCTGAAATGCCAGAGGAGGTGAGGTGTGTGGGAGGCTAACTTCATTTATGAATATGTCTACAAATTTGGCACTTTGAAAATGAGGTTTCCCTGCTGCTTTTTAATCAGGTTGATAAAAGAGGGGAGGTACTCGTTCATATTCTTCCGATAGCTGAGCTATAGGTGCGTAGGCAGACGTCTGTGATTTAAGAGGTTTGCTGGCTTGTGTTTCTTTCAGGTCATCCAACCTGTGAGATCATTTCGGCCGTCAGAAGACCTGATGTGGTTTCTTTGGCTCCCACTAACAAAGAATTAAATGATAAAATTTCACTTCATTATGAAAGTTTGCTTAGGAACCATCTTTTAAAATGGAGAAGGGAAGGAAAATGATAAAAGATGAATTGGCTTCTGAAAATTCATTCTTTAGAGGTCTGTGGATACAAATTCAGTACCCTTTGACCCTGACTCTGAAAGAGATTGGAATAGTCCTCTAACATAGGCATTACGGCACTGGAATGCGCATGAGCTGAATACATACTCTGTTCTCAAAAAATAAAGGCATATCTATGCGTACCAGGAGTATGTGTTTTAACTAGAATATAGAAGTTCATTGTACAGGTGCTTAATGCATTTTACATTTTAGCCTGTTACATACCATCAACTCAGAACCAACTCATAGCTGACTCGACTTTTGGTTGTCTGAGCCGGTAAATTGCACAAGAAGAGATTGCCCAACTGTCTCCCACAAGCTGGTGGATGCGAACCACATGCCTTTGGTCTGGCAGAGTGATCACCAAGCCAGCAGAGCTCCCTAGTTAGCATCTTTACTTGTTAAAAGAATATTTGGGTTGGAATGAATGCTATTGTATATAATCTAATTTAGGATCTAATAAATGATAATTATTTACTGGGTCCCCTTTAAGCATGTGTATGTAATAATGGGCCACCACTTCCTCCATTCCTCCAGAAGGAAAAGATATAAAAAATAATTTTATATAAAATTTTATAGAAAAGTAATTTTATAGAATTGATTTTGGGGCAGAGAGAAGCAGTGTTAGGTTTTCAATATGTGCTGAAATAGCTTAATACCTGTTTTGGGCAAAGAGCGTTAGGGAGAATCTTAACCTTGCTTACTCAAACAAAAACTGCATCAGCCCTTCAAAATCCTGGAAAAGCTGGTTGGCTGAGTCTTAACAGCTTTTTCAGAGCCGAGGTGGTGGTGGTTGCTGCTGTTGGGTGCCATCGAGTTGATTCTGACTCATCTACCCTCTGAACCGCCATCCTGCAACTTGCTCTATCTTATGACACCATTGTCATCTCTTGAGACCCTAGAATCCAAAGCTGACATCACAGTATCAGTCCATCTCATTGGGGGGTCTTCCTCCTCTTTGCTGACCCTGTATCTTTCCAAGCCAAGGAATAGCCTCAACCTGGCTGCATATTGAGGTATGAAAGATGAAGCTTTGTCATCCTTGCCTCCAAGGAGCACTCTGGCTGTACCCTTTCTAGGGAGAGCTGCTTGTTTTCTTGACAGTCCATGTTCAGTACTCTTCCAGCACCACAAGTCAGAGGCATCAATTCTTCTATCATCCTTATTCATTGTGCAGCTCTTTGATGTATAGCAGGTTACTGAGAAGCCTGAAGCAGGTTCACTTTAGTTTTCTGACATCATTGCTCTTCAGTATTTTGGTAATAGTCTCTGACAGCAGGCTTGTCCAGTGCAATAATAGGTCTCTTGGTCTCCTGACTGCTTGTAGCAAGGGTATTGATTGGCCATCCAAGCAAGATGAACTCATTGGCAACTTTCATCCTTTTCCCCCCATCTATCTTAATGTTGACTGTTGGGCCAGAGATGAGGGTCTTGTCTTCTTCATGTTGAGATATAAACCAAAAGCTGTCCTTGATCTTCTGCAGTAAGCATTTCGTATCCTCCTCGCTTTGAATAAGCAAAGTTGTATCATTAGCATAATGCAGATTGTTGATGAGTCTTCCTCTAATCTTGATGCTACATTCTTCTTCATAGAGTCTGGCTTCACGGATTATTTGCTTAGGGTTCAGATTGAATAGGTATGGAGAAAGAATACAACCCTGATGTGTATCTTTCCTGATCTTAAACCATGCAGTGTTTCCACCACAGCCTCTTGGTCTAGGTACAGATTTCTTAGGAATACAATTACGTGTTCTGGGATTCCCATTCTTCTCAGTGTGAGCCAGAATTTGTTATGATCCGTGCAGTCAGATGTGTTTGCATAGTCAGTAAAGCACAAATACAGAGGACAGTCTTCTGGTATTCTCTGCTTTCAACCAGATCCATCTGACATCCTCAGTGGTATCCCTGGTGCTGCAGCCTCTTCTAAAACTAGTTTGTACTTCTGGTAGTTCCCTATCAGGGTATTGTTCTAGCAGCTTTTGAATGAATTTCAACAATATTTACTTGCATGGCATATTAATGATAACTGTTGGATATTTTCCGTTCTGTTGGTCCACCTTTCTTGTGAATAGGGATCTCTTCCAGTCAATTGGCCAGGTAGACGAGGACAAAAACAAAGAGCTTATCCTGTGTTTTCCTTCCATATGTCCACAGTAGTCATGGATATTTAAGCAGTTAAGGCTTTGAGAATCTAATGAATTGCCTCTTATTTATGAACTAGGACTCCAGAAGAATGTCCAGGCTCTTAGGACAGGAATTTTGTGATTGCTTTTGTGAAGGTTAGATAATTCAGCATCCCTTAAGTCTGCTTTGAATATAATGCTGCTGGGAGACTGGGTAAATCCAGGATCCACCCAGGAATGCATCTCACAAAGGGAGTTTTGAGGACTTGAAACCACAGATATAGCCACTTGAAGAAGGCACTTGTGCTTGCTTACCTTTTGGCTTCTTTTCAGTCTGTCTCTTTAAAGGAAAAAAAAAAGAAACCCAAAACTGTGATGATGTGGTGTAAAGGGGGTTGGACAAGCCTGGGGTAGAATCTTCATATTCCTCTGTTATTTTGAGACCTTGTTAAAAATATTTAAATTATGAAGGATATCTTGGATGGACAAAGTCCAGATTGCATTGGATTCAAATTCCATCTCTCCTATTTGCTACCTATGCTGGAGCAAATTATTTAACATCTGAACTTGCTTCTGTTTCTTTAGTTTGAAAAGTGGGAATAGCCAAACCATCTTGCAGGGCTCTTAAGATGATTTGTGTAATGATCTGTAATTACAAACAGGTGATACATAGTGATGGTGATAGGTTCTTTGGAAATTAAAGCATGTCCTAAGTGTCACAAAATTGTAAAATCCAGGTTCCTGATTTCTCATTTGTTTAGTGCTTCCTAGTGAGCGCTGTGCGCATATGAGTGCACAGTGCACCTTTCCTGAAAGTGGGTCTCGGCAGCCGGCTCCCCCTTTCTTCCTTTTCTCTTGTAAAAATGGCCAGGATATACAATTTAAATGTAAGCATTTAATCAAGCAGGAATAAATAAGAGCATATTCTTTAGAAGCTTCTGCTCATTTAAATTTGTAAAATGAAACTAATTTCATTTCAGGGATTATATATTCCAGTGGTTGGAATTCCTAGTGATTGGAACATCCAAATCTGTATTGTTTGGATTGTATTATGATAGCTTTGATACATTGGAAAATGAAGCAAATGCCAAATAATTTCAATAGATTCTTTATGATTTTGTTTTTACGGCAAAATCAAAATGAACTTAAAAATTTTCTAACTTCTGTGTCCCTTTTCCATTAGTGATGATTCCCCTCACCCCCTTAGCAGCAAAGTGTGGAAAAAGCATATGAACAAAGTTTCTTTAAGAGTATAAGCAAAAGAGGAATCTAGTACCCAGAAAGCAAAGATATTTATAAATTGGCTCTTGCTTGCTTGCCTTGCAGCAGTACATTCCAGAGTTTTCTCCACAGGGAGGAGGCCAGGAAGAAGCTAATAATAGGTTATCCATGTACAGTTAGTGTTTGCTTTACAGTTTCCTCTTCTCTTAAATAAACAGCATTTTTTAGTTTTCTGATTATTCTAGAGGTTAGTACAGAGCATTTTGATGTGAGATGCACCTACTTCTGAGAGTTTTAAGTCACCTTTTGTTTTCTCCTCTCCCAGGACTCTTGGTGGGGTTCCTGCACAGGCCCCTCCACCTGTTGAAGCAACCTCTTCATCAGAAATCATCTGCCCAGATGTGGTCACCTCGGCAAATTTTTACCCGGAAACTTGGGTGTATATGCATCCATCTCAGGACTTTATCCAAGTGCCTGTTTCTGCAGAGGACAAAAGTTACCGGATCATTTACAATCTCTTTCACAAGACTGTACCTGAGTTTAAATATAGGATTTTACAAATACTGAGAGTCCAAAACCAGTTTCTTTGGGAGAAATATAAAAGGTGAGACCAGAGTACGAATTGTCTGAGAACTTTTCCTTAATACTATGTTCTGCTTTTGTTACTAGTTAAATATATGTTTATTAATTTAATCCTTACCATAGACTTACAGTTAGGATTATTGCAATCTACATTTTATAGAGATGAACATTGAGTCTCACAGAAAACTAGTAACTCATCCCAGGTCATACGGTCATACAGCTAAGAAAATATGATGGTAGAATTTAAGTTCAGGCAGTGTAGTATCAGCAAGCAGCCTCACTCTTAACCTTTGTGCTGTGTGTGCTGCTTCCCAAACCAACAAACAAATCAGTGTAGCTCAAAGGAGAGTATGTGCTGCTTGGAAGAATCTCTGAATCCAGGGAGACCCAGATCAGTGGAGTTAGACAGGGAGGGCACCCCGAGGAGGAGAAGATGGGAGAACTAGATGAGCAGTGAAGAGAAAGCAAAAGTTCACATGTTCTCTATGATCTTTGATGGCATTTTGTTCTCAATTATTTTCCATTTCTTCCCCATTGAAACTGTAAGGTTTATGTTTACTGCTATTAAATACCTACTAAATTCCCCATTATTTCTTTGCATTAGGAAAAAGGAGTATATGAACAGGAAAATGCTTGACCGGCACAGAATAATAAACGAGAGACATTTGTTTCATGGAACATCCCAGGATGTGGTGGATGGAATCTGCAAGCACAACTTTGACCCTCGCGTTTGTGGAAAGCATGCTACCATGTTTGGACAAGGCAGTTACTTTGCGAAGAAAGCAAGCTACTCTCATAACTTTTCTAAGAAGTCCTCCAAAGGAGTTCATTTCATGTTTTTGGCCAAAGTTCTGACTGGCAGATACACGCTGGGCAGTCATGGCATGAGAAGGCCCCCTCCAGTCAACCCTGGCAGTGTCACCAGTGACCTGTATGACTCTTGTGTGGATAATTTCTTGGAGCCTCAGATTTTTGTCATTTTTAATGATGACCAGAGTTACCCTTATTTTGTTATCCAGTATGAAGAAGTCAGTAACACTGTTTCCATTTGAAAAATCTTGGTATTGTTAAATTATTTGCTATCAGTCCAGCATTTGTAGCAGGTTTTGGATGGGTGGGACTGGGTGGGAAGACAAAGTGGACATTAATAGGGCACTTTCAGACCCTCTTTTTTTTTTAAAAAAAAAAAAAGCTAGAAAGTGAGATTGTTTTCATTCTGGGAATTTTGGAGGGGAGGTTCACTTGGTGGGTTTTGGTGTTTTTGTTTTTCCTTTATGGAAAACAGTTTTAAATGACCACTTATTTAATTACTAATTGTTAGTGTACTCTGTGTGGGAAAGACTATATAAGTTGCATAATCTTTTCCTTCACACTTGTACATAGAGTCAGCAATGTTATTACAAGCTATTGAGGAAAAGACATTTAATATCAACATCAGTCTTAGTAATTAAATGCGGCTTGAACCTGGTAGAAGTTAGGCCAAATGAAATGAAGGCTGAGAGCAAAGTGAGGATTGTATTTCTTTACAGTGATAAACTGACTAGAACTGTGCTTATTCTCTGTCCAAACTGTCATTGCTAAGGTATAGGATACAGGACATTTTATTTCTGTCAGTAGGACTGAAATACATCACCCAACCAGGGAAAGAACTGTTCTAAAGAGTTTGCTTGAGAATCCAGTTACATATTTTAAAAGAATTATCTGAAAAATTTTCTCATCAGAAAAATGTTTAACTCAGTAGTTACATAAGATAGAATTCTGTGTTACCTGACGCCAGCTATTGAAAATGTAGTATCGAATTTGAAGGTGATAGGCAGCTAATTTGGCACATTTTGGAGTTTTAACTTTTGGGGGAAGATTCCAAGCCTAGCCAGATTAACATTTTAAGTAAAGAAATACATCTGCAACTGGATTGATACTGTTTATTACTGTGCTTTGTACAATGTAGACTCTCAAAAGTATTAAGACTGGGATTAAGAATGGTAATCCAGCTTTAGGCCTGCTTTACCAGATGCAGCTGGGTTCCCTGGCTGACTGTATTTTCACACTACTTATTTAATAGAAACACAGACTTGGAATTTGTGCCACTAGCCCAGCTGGAATTAGCCCAGTAGGTGAATACGCTAATGCCTCAGTTCAAAGTAGCAGCTAGGTATACTTCGCCTTAAGCAAAGCAAATACTTGGATTTACAAAGGTGTAAGTGGTTACTCAAAGGCATTTACCATGAATATCTTGAGATACCAACTTCTCCTAGGATGTTTGCAGTTACTGCATTTCCACATACCTTCTTTATTCTTTGGAGCAAGATTTCTTTCTACTGGTATCTCAGTGAATCAGTCTGTTGTTTAAGCACTTACCAGGGCTTCCACACAATTATTTATTTTGCCCTAGCTGATCCTGTTGTTTGCGGCTGCTGGCACGAAACAGCTAAGTATGGCTGTTACTTTGAGTCAGTTCTTTCGTTTGATTATAACTTGTAAACCAGTGATTCCCAATCTTTTTCAAGTTAAAACTCCTTACCACTGCTTATTTGATTTCATGAAACTTGTTCCTTTTTTTCTCCCTAAAGGAAAAAAAGCTTTATATTTATTTTTTTAATAAAATCAAACAAAAATAAAAGTTCTGGTAATTCTTGAAAACTTTGATGTCTTGCTTCCATTCATAACTGGATTTGGCCCTAGTTGGTGGTCTTTAATACCAGTTGATTGAAATGGTTGAATGTGTGCGTGAATGACCAAATCATCACACCTGTCCAAAACGTACTGTGGGAACCAGAAGAAAGTACATTAAGCACTTAATTCTGAATCACTGAAGAGTGACTATTTTACTTCTGTGGATGTATTTGGGGACAAATTTTATATCAGCACACCATAATAGAAAAGTAAGGCCAGTAGGGGCTTGAAGAAATTAACCAGGTATTTGAACTCTAATGACTCATAACTGCACCCAGCACCCAAGTCGTTTGGTCAGTGTGAGCGTCACTGACAGTGCTCCACCTTTCAAATTCCCTGTGACCTCAGACTGTATTTGATAATGTTTCTATGGATTTAAAACTTCAAAGCTTTCAGTATTCTTGCAGATACATCATTTAAACCAATTCAGAGAGAATTCTTAATCTCGGCTGTGGTTGAGATTCCCGGAATAGTCGTTGTGCTGTAGAGTTGACTGACTCAGTGACCCTATGGACAACAGATCTGAACTCTGTCCCGTTCTGTGCCGTCCTCACCATCTCTTCTATAATTCATTGTCACAGCATGCTGGTCCGTCTTGTTGAGGATCTTCCTTTCCTTTGCCAACCCGTCACATTTCTAAGCATGATGTCCTCCAAGGACTGACCCTTCCTACCAGCATGTCCAAAGTATGTGAGACGAGCTTTACCAGGAGCTACTCTGGAATCACTTGGCTCCATAACAGACTTGTTCTTGAGGCAGTCCATGGAATAGTCAGCACTCCAAACCACAGCTCAGTCATTACTCCACCGTCCTTAGCCAATTGTCCAATATTCCGATGCGTAGCAAGTAATCAAAAAGACCACACCATGGCTGGTATCAGGCCTCCTTGCTCTTAAGCACTTCAGAGAGGTTCCTGATAGCCGATTTCCAAAGGCAGACATCGTGATTTTTGACTGCTAGTCCCAAGGGTTTGATTATGGATCCAAGTAAGATGAAGTGATTGACAAGTTCAGTCTTTTTACCATCAGTTGTAGCATATTAGCCAAGTGGTATGTATGGACTTTAGTTTTCTTAATGTAGCCCTGTAAACCGTTAAGTGCAGTTGAGTCACAGACGACTCATAGCAACCCTATAAACAAAAAGTCCTGAACATGCATAACTTTTATCGTTTCTCTAAGTTTGTAAGAGTTTCTGGAGGCAAGCTATTTCAGAAGTGGATGCCACTCCTGCTTCCAAAACTTCATTTGGGAGCTCCACCAAACACTGTCCACCTTGGGTAACCATTATCATACTTGACACACCTGTGTCACAGTGTTTACCATTACAGCAACCATGAGTACCTCTGTACAGCAAACTGACAGACCAGTGTTACGCCAGTTGGAAGAATGACCATAACCAATAAAAACCAGGCTCAAGGGCAGCAGCTCCACTCATCTCCCGTAACTGGAAGCAGCCCCAGATTGGCGATCGTATGCCTTTTTAAATACAAAATTAAATCCAATCCGCTCACACTGCTGTCTCATAAAGTCCAGCTTCCGAAATTATCTACTCGGCGTAAAGAATGAATAGATACGGAGAAAGTACTCAATCCTGGTGAACACCCTTCTTTATTTTAAACCAAGTTTCCTTGTGCTGAACAGCCTGTTCTAGGTATAGGTTTCATGTGAGCACGGTTAAGCACTCTGGGAGTCCCGTTCTTCTCAATGTTAGCCATCATTTATTGTGATCCACACAGTGCAGAGGCAATAAAACGGGCATCTTCCAGGTATTCCCTGCCAAGATCCATCCAGCATAAGCAATGATATACTTCTGGCAGTTCTCTTTCAAAGTAGTTGTTTTAGATGATCTTCAGCGGTATTTTGCTTGCATGTGATATTAATGATACTGTTTGACTCTTGGAACACATTTTTTGGGGGAATGAAATACAGATCTCTTCCAGTTACTGGTATACACAAGGAAAATCCTGCTGAAGATTATTAAAACGACTGGAACAACTCATTGACACAACTGTCAGAAACAAGCTGGGTTTAGAAGAGGCTGTAGCACTTGAGACAGTGCTAATGTCTGATGGATCTTGGCAGAAAGCAAAGAGTACCAGAGGAATGTCTATGTTTCATTGACTGTGCAAAGGCAGTTGACTGGGTAGATCACAAAGAATTGTGGCTAACCTTGAGAAGAATGGGAAACCCAGAACACTTGCCTGTGCTCATACAAAACCTGCACTTGGACCAGGAGGAAATCATCAGATCAGAGCAAGGAAACACTGCTTGGTTTCAAAATTAGGAAGGGAGTGCATCAGGGATGTGTCCTGTACTCACTTTTTCAGTATGTATGCAGACCACATTCAGGTAGCTGGACTTTAAGAGGAGGAGTGTGACATCAGGATTGGAGGAAGATACATCAGGGACCTGCATTATGCAAAAGGTCAAGGACTAGGCTTCAATATGAATTGAAGCTCAACCTCAGGAAGACAAAGATTCTCACCAGGGGGCCAATTGGCAGCACCAATTGCATTGAGGGAATTAACAATTTCAGAATGCTTCCTCCTGCATTCAGGAAAACAAAAAAGGACTTGTATTGGAAAAATCTGTCAGAGACCTTTCCAAAGTGCTAAAGAGCGATGATGTCAGTCTGGAGACCAAGATGCACCTGATTCAGGCTGTGGTCTTTGCAATTACGTGCTATGCATCAGAGTTGGACAAAGACTGACAGTGGAAGAACTGATGCCTTTGAGTTGTGCTGGAGAAGAATATTGAACTTACCATGGACCTCCAGAAGAACAAGTAAGTCTGTTTTGGAGAGGGTGAAACCTAGTTTCTCCTTGGAGGCAAGGATTTTGAAGCTCTGTCTCACATACTTTGGGCAGGTGGCCTGGAGTGGCCAATCCTTGGAGAAGGACATGCTTAGAAGGGTGGAGGGAAAGCACAGAAGAAGAAGGCATGGGATGAAATAGATTGACACAGTAACTGGGGCACTGACATTACTACGTGTGTCAGTCAGTGAGACTGTCTCAGGATAAGGTAGGGTTCAGAGCTATTTTACATAAGGTCTCTATGAGTCACGAGCAACTCAATGGCACTTAATAATAACACAAAGAGCAACGATGTAAGTTTGAGGAGGAAGGTGTGCTTGATTCAGTCCATGGTCTTCCTGGTCACTTGCTATGCATCTGAAAGCTGGACAATGAATAAGGATAACAGAAGAATTGATGCTTTTGAGCTGTGATGTTGGAGAAGAGTAGTGACTATTCCATGGACTGGCAACAGAAAAAACAATTATGTCTTGGAGAAAGCGCAGCCAGAGTGCTCCTTGAAGGCAAAGATGTTGAAGTTCCATCTCATACCCTTCAGGTATATTGGTAGGCAAGGTTATTCCTTGGAGAGGGACATCACACTTGGAAAGGTGGAAGGTCAACATAAGAGAGGGACTCTCAACCAGGTGGATTGACAGAGTGATGGCCACAATGGGGCTTAGCGTCAGGAAGTGTGAGGATGGCACAG